CTCCAGCACGTGTATAAGTCATACACGTGTATAAGTTGACTACATCGACCACATTATCATGTAATAAATTAAAATATCCACTCACCAGAAACTTCATTTTGTTACAAATGTGGTAGGCTGTCACTGACCGACTATCAGAACGAATTTGATACAAATAAACCATTTTGTTGCCTTATATAAGAAAATAAAATAGAAATAATAATAATAATGTATAAAAAATTATATCTACGCCTTAACACATTCTAAAACAGGAGCCATTTATATTGGAGCAAAAATAGAATTTAAATGTGATTATGTTTACGTTTAGGGTCCCGCAAACCATCGATTAAAACTAAAAAACTTTAAGCGACTATATACAAGTCATTATTTCAAGTATCTTATTAAACTTAAATACTTAAATTGTAATTAAACTTTAATACTTAAATTTTAATTAAACTTTTTTAATACTATTTATACCATGTTTTATACAAAATGTATTTTTAGTCTTAGTTAACCAAATGAGCACGCACTTAGGTGTAACAACTTCAGAAAAGTTTTAACAAAGGATATGTGCAGCCAAAACAAAAAAAAAGGAAAAGAAAAAACCAAAAAAGCAGGTATTTTCAGACGTCTTCAAAAAGGGAACAAAAGATTCTCTCAATTTAATTGTACTCGTATGTCCGTTATTCGTATATATGTTACGCGATATCTCCGTCCATTGTGAGCCGATTTTAATGGTGCTTTTTTATAGAATAAGAGGAAACTCTGACACATACACATCTACATCTATCCTCAATAAGCATCAAAATGCAAATGTCAACACTGAGGCTTAAGATGGAATGCCTTGTTTTCAGTAAAAAGGGGTCTCCGATTGCCTACACTCACCTTACGAAACAGCAGCATTAAGCTGGTATTCTGTGACAGCAAGCCCCCGGTGGAGCCCACCCATTCGTACTGCAACTATAATATAGCAGTAGCATGGCTCTACCACGTATAAATGTCTACGGAACCTGTTACAATTTTTGATCTACTTTTAGTAGCATCCTTGAAATGTTAGCAAGCTTAAAAGGCCCGCATGTACGACGTCCGGTAGAATAAATCAGAATATGTATCAAAATTATATATATTTTTTTAGGATAAAGGTGACAAATGAGAACACAGTCCACCTAATGGTAAGTGATTGCTGTGGCCCATAGATATCTACATTTATCCTACCGTGAGGACTAAGATGGAATGCCTCGTTTCCAGTAAAACGGGTCTCCGGTAAGTAAAAAGGGTATCCGATTATATTCAAATTTTATTAGATTTATTTGTTTTCGATTGCGTAAAATAGTTTACAAAAAAATGAAAAAAGTTTCAAAAACAAAAAATTTATACCTTCTACTACACTGCCACAACTAAGACGAATGTAACGACAGGCCTTATGTTAAAATCATAGACTTAGAATATACCGGCATACAGACCGACATAGTGTGCAAGAGAGAAGACAATTATTCCTTATGGCAAAAATGCAACATAGAAAAGGATACCAAATCTCATGACTGTAACCGATTTTGAATGACAGGTCGGCACGAGTCGGCATGCAAGAAATAAGTTTCTAGATATTTTGTAATTTTTTAGAGTGTAATAGTGGTTATTTTAAATACGTAACTTTTTCCAAAATTTTTACTTGGTCTGTGAGTGACTGTGGTGTTAATAATGGAAATAATCGTGATAATTGAATATTTCACAGGTAAATTATCAAGACGTCGTCAATGTTATGACGCGTTTATTTTTGGTCAAAATTTATGTTATGTACTTTTTAAAATATAGAATGTTTTTGTTAATTTTGATATTTTGCAAAAAAAAATAGTCACGTTGTTGATAATTTTTTTATATGATAAGGGTGACAAACGAGGACACAGTCCAACTGATGGTAAGTGGTTGCTGCGGCCCATAGACATCTACATCTATTCTCGTTTGCAAATCAAAATGCAGATGCGTTGCCACCCGTGAGGACTAAGATAGAATGCCTCATTTCCAGTAAAAAGGGCCTCCGGCCACCTGCACTCACCAATCGAAACGCAGAGGTAAACCTCTACTTCACGCTGGTATTCTGTGAGGTCGTGGTACCACCCCGGTTCGAACCGGCCCATCCGTGCGACAGCAAAAGCTGCCGCGTGGCTCAACCACTGTTAATGAATTTGGTAAATACACTTTTATACAAAATATTTTACGTGGTAGAGCCATGCTGCAGCTATATTAGTAGCATAGTTGTAGCACGAATGGGTCGGCTCGACCGGGGAAGGACCACGCTCTCACAGACTACCAGCGTAAAATAGCAGCTTAACGCTGCTGTGTTTCGTATGGTGAGTGTAGAGAACCGGAGACCCCTTTAACTGGAAAAGAGGCATTCCGTCTTAGTCGTCGCGGGTGACAACGCATCTGCATTTTGAGTCTTTATTGAGGATAGATGTAGATGTCTATGGGTCACAGTAACCACTTACCATCAGGTGGACTGTGTGCTCGTCTGTCACCCAATCCTATAAAAAAAATGTACGCTAGAGGTTGACTCTATATTAAAATTAATGTCGATATTTATCTTGAATGTTTAATCGATAGACTTGCCCACACAACTAGAAAATAAATCCTCGGTTTGCGTTCTATAAATATAATTTTATTTTGCCGTTTGTCAAACGAAAAATTTAGGAAATGAGGCATTCCATCTTAGTCCTCACGGGTGACAACGCATCTACATTTTGATTTGTAACAGAGGATAGATGTAGATGTCTATGGGCCGCAGCTACCAATTACCATCAGGTGGACTGTGTGCTCGTTTGTCACCCTTATCCTATAAAAAAAAAACAGATTCCCTCCGGAATCTATAATTAGAAAAAAATTGTTAAGGTTAATTGGACGGGTTGGTTGGAACCCAAAGACAACTATAAGATTGGAAACTAAAGAATTTGTAGCAAACATTTCCTTGAGAAGTATAAAAGAAAAAGTAGAATAAAAACAATTTTATTAAATGGAGCCATTTCTACGTTATTTGTACCAGTAAGTATAATATTGTTCTAATAATAATACTTCAAAAATTTAACTTTCAAAACTTTAGATAAAAATAAAGATAGATTTTTATACATGTTAAAACTGTAGTACATTAAAGATAAAAAATCTTGAGATTATCCTATACTATCCAAGCCATTATGAACCCAACTAAGTATCTATTTATCAACCAAAAAATGTATAACCTTACTTCACCACTCACACCTCAAGATCATACTAGTGCAATATTCATAGCATCACGCTATTTTCCCGAAGAGGTTGCGTGGAGCTTTGGATTATATCGAGATTGAGAGAACAGAGAGTGAGTCTGTATCATCAGATACTTAGTGCACTCTGTTAAGATCATTATGTTTTTAAAATTCATGCAGCTAAAATGATAATAAGTTTATTATTACTTTATACTTTTCAGGAACAGATGAAAGAATATAATCATGAAGCATGATGAAGCCTCATAAACATAGTGGCCTTTAAACAGAGCAATCTTATTTAACTGATTGCTACAAGTTTCCTTACTTAAATTATTAAGTTTACATTCATATTTAAGTCGAATGTTAAAATAAACTTCTATAATGTATTTAATAATTAATTATTAAATGTTTGTAATTATCAAAAGTAATACTTATATGAAAAAAAAGCAGCCGTTATATACTGCATGTCCCCATTTTTTATTTCCCCATCAAAACATGTCATATTATAAAATGTATAAAATATACATAGATAGATATACACTTACACACCTATTTATATTAACAATATGTTAAAAAAGAAATTCCGGGGAAACTGTCCATGGCAGTAAATTTTTTTCTCGAAAGATCATAACTCGAAAATACAACTTTCACATCTGATTCTTGGGGAGTTTTTTTTTTTAAGTTAATCGGTAGAGTCACCTGGTATTTTTTACATTTGAATGAAAATCCAACAAAAAGCAGATAATTTCAGCTTATTCCCAGGACAGCAAAAGAAAGAATTGACGGATTCCAGTGTTCTATTTCTTCTATGCGTAAAATACTCATATAACTTGGGTACAAGAACACACAAGCTCCAGATGGTCGTAAACAATTGATGGAAAGGACTGACATCGTTTATGCGTGGCTACAATTCCTGAGAAAACTCAATACCCTGAGAGATAGTGAAGACACTCGACCGAGAATTCATTTAGGTGAGACTTGGGTGAACCAACATCACAGCCGCAAACGAATTTAGCTAGACAAGGATGGACAAGGCGGCTTAAACACAAAAACGGGAAAACGGGCAGACTAATTGGTGAATATTCTTTCATCTTTTAGAAATACGACTTAATAATAATTTAATACAAAATATGATATTCGATTAATTATGTTGTTTTAGTTTGTCATCCAGGCTGCGCAAAATATGGTTTATACCCGAAGCCAGATGGGTATTCCGTGCTGTGAAGTCTCAGAACGAGGACTACTATTAAGAAATGAATGCCGGAGGCTTCACATACAAAGCTGATGCAGAGTCTTGAAGAACCATCAGTCATCATAATGGACAACGCACCCTACCACTCCCAGCAAATAAATCGAGCACTGACATCAGCTAATAAAAAGAGTGAAATTTAGTAGTGGCTCCGCCAACACGGGATTGAGTTTAGTGATAGTGAGTGAACTCAAGCCGGAACTATTGCAAAAGGTATTTGAGATTTTATTATTTAAAGTTTGCAACACATTTGTTTTCTTTTAAGTATTTAGTTGAATATACAAACAATATTTTATTTACAGGTGCAACGGAACCGACCAGAAAAAATATATAAATTGGATCAGTTAGCTTTGGAGTCAGGACACTAAGTGATTCGCTTACCACCTTACCATTGCCAATATAACCCAATTGAGTTCGTATGGGCTCAAGCATAATATAAAGTTGCCACCAAAACCAGCACTTTTAAAATTGCAGACGTCAAAGTGTTACTGCATGAAGCAACTTATCACTAGCCCTCATAATGACAAAACTAAATACACTATCGATAGCGCTTAAAGAGACCAATAATGGGCATCACTATGCTCGCCCCTAAGGACCGTGAGCGGAAGAGTGAGCGAGATACTCCGATGGTTTATGACCCAAACTGTACGGACAAAATAATTCTAGTTAGCTAACGCACACAATGGCAAATCAAAATACTCACGCGTTTTCAGGCTATCAGGTCGTCTATACGCCAGTATATTCGAAGTCTATGGTTAAAATCCATCAAGCCGTTTAGGATACTGATTGTGCCAAAGAAATAGACATACTTATCCTGAGATTTGAACTCGGAAACTCACGATTAGTAGTAGTAGTAACCACTAGACCAAGAAGAAGAAGGTCGAAAATTCACACAACTCTACATTTTGTCAACATTTAAACAGACACTCGTGAATTAGCTTTACAAAGGAGAATCTTGGATTTAGCTTTTTTATTGTTCCTATTGTTGTGTTCTCATGTCACAATGTTACTCAACTTATATAAAAAATTTAAAAAATCTAACTATTAAAATTAGAATGAACACACAAAAACTTTACTTTTTTTTTCTAAATGAGTAACCGAAGATTTGCCCTGACTTTAAAATTCGGGACATTTCGATAAAACATAGTCATGGAGTATGGAGTATAAAAACCAAATAGAATTGTATATTATAAATAGGTCAATTTACATAATGTAGAAGTATACAACTTATCTAGGTCTGGTCTCATTTAAAATATTTTAAGTATTAAGAAAAAAATAATCAGGTGTTACTTTGCGGAAGTTCATAATAAAGACGAAAAATATTAATTAGCTAAAACTCGTGCACAAAAACCAAAAACTAGAAAGGCTACCAAAATAAAAAATAAAAGCTTTTACTTTTTCTTTATTATTAAGAATGAATAACAAAATATTAAGCTCCATAATATTTCATTATTATCAGCCTATTTCCTTCACGTCGAACACGTGGTAAATCAGCATTTAAAATTGAAATTAATAATTTCATTGGTGCCGGCGGGGTTCAAACCTGTACTGTAAAATTTACATACAGCGAACGCTTAGCCCCTAGACTACCACGTGCTCGGCGGTGAAGGAAAACATTGTGAGGAAACCTGCATGTCTGAGTGAACAGGGTACAACGGCTCCGGTGACTTGCCCTGCAACAGAAACCAACCGGTCAGTGACCTTCTATCCTTAGAAACTAATACTACACCACGTTGGGTTCGGGAACAATGAGGTGGGCGTGACCCCTCAGAAGGTGTACCACTCAAAGCCCATCTACCTCTTTCTGAGAAGAAAGATTAGACGACTAAGACTACGGGTCCCTATGGATGGTCCCGGTCTCAAAACCTATCGTCAATGGACTTTATCTTCATTTAAAGTGGAGTTGGAAATAAAACATCGATTTATCTTCGTAATTTCCCCTTAAGAAGAGTACGACATTGAAAACTTTCACTACTTCTTCCTATCACTTTCCCTACTATCTTCTATCTTGATTTAAACTGGAAAACTGGTAGCTGGTCCCGAACTGTCTGAACGAATTTCCAAATTACCAGCCTCCTATCCTAGTACGTGAGCTATACGCGAAAGAAAACCACACGCCGCGCGCCATTTGTTTATAGGATAAGGTGACAAACGAGCACACAGTCCACCTGATGGTAAGTGGTTGCTGTGGCCCATAGACATCTACATCTATCCTCGTTTGCGAATCAAAATGCAGATGCGTTTTCACCCGTGAGGACTAATATGGAATACTTCTTTTCCAATAAAAATGGTCTCCGGTTCTCTACACTCACCATATGAAACACAGCAGCAATAAGCTGCTATTTGACGCTGGTATTCTATGAGAGCGTGGTCCTTTCCCGGTCGAGCCGACCCGCTCATGCTACAACTATACTACTACTATAAGCATGGCTCTACCACATATTAGTCATTTCGACATAATCTGATATTAGTTTTCATGTTCATCACACTCTCACATTTAATCCCATATCTTTATTTCTTAAAAACATATTGTTACATAATTTCACTTATAAAAACACATACAGTCTTATTATTATGACATACTTTACATCGCTATCACATAAAGACATATTAAGATATTTAACAAAATACAATTTTACAGGACATTTTTAAAGTTCTAAATCTTAAATACTCGTATCTATGCAATAATTTTTATTAATAAACATGAATTTTTAATTAGACATTAATTTTTTTTATATAAATTTATTATTATTTCGTTATTTTAAGCACAAAATTAGACACTTTTAACACATCACTTATCTTATTATTCGTAATCCCGAAACACTTATTGCCTATTTTTACACACATTACTGAAAGTTTCACGAATTGATTAAGTATACTAAAGGATTTTATTTTTATTTTTTAGTACATTATTTAGAATCTGTTTGAGTCCCATACAAAATGAACAACCAACTGCACGACCCTTATCATCACAGTATGAGGCTAGTGCTTTCTCTGTCTAAATTATATCATTCATTGTAAAACATTATCTATTTACATATGCTATTCTTATCTAGCCATTATGTAACTTATCTCTTATCACAAGAATAAAACACATTTTCAACTAAAATAAGTATCTAATTTGATATAAAACTTTTATTCGTGTTACATAGCCGATTACTATGTAACAGATGACTCTAAATTAATCTATAAACAAACTTTTGTGGAATTCATTCTCGACCGGGGAATCGAACCCCAAACTTTCGCTCGACAATCGAAATCAAACTTAAACGGCAGTCAATTAATTAAGACGATGTAAATAATGCTCTATCGAAATTAGTACATTGGTTTAACGCCAACAATATGCTCTTAAACGGCAATAAGACAAAGTGTGTTAAATTTACAATACCTAATGTAAAACATTCGAATACCAATGTGCTGTTAAATGGGGAGGAGTTGAGTCTTGTGGATACCACTGTGTTTCTCGGTATTACTATTGACGCGAAATTTCAATGGGGCCCCCATATATCTGAATTAGCAAGCAGACTTTGTTCTGCAGCATATGCTGTAAGAAAGATTAGAAGTTTCACAGATGTTAAGACAGCTAGATTAGTGTATTTTAGATACTGTTATAGTGTAATGTCTTATGGAATTTTGCTATGGGGTGATGCGACTGATATTGAAGCTATATTTGTTTTGTAAAAGAGAGCCGTACGGGCGATTTATAACCTAAATTGCAAAGAGTCCCTCAGAGAAAAATTTACAGAAATAAACATATTAACTTTGGCATCGCAATATATTTATGAAAATGTAATGTATGTACATAAAAACATAAATAGCTTTAATAAGAATAAGGATGTGCATACTTTAAACACTAGGAACAAACATAAGCTTGTAATGCCAGTTACTAGACTCCACAGAATCAGTAATTCATTTATGGGGCAATGTATAATACGCTTTTACAACAAAATCCCAGAACATATTCAAAGTTTGTCAACAAACAAGTTCAAAAGTTTTATTAAAGAAAAACTGTACAAAAAGGGTTATTATAATATAAAGGAATGCATGAATCAAAACAACCCCTGGGAATAAGGTGATCGCCATCATGCTGGTTCTATGAAAAATCGTTTAAAAATTGTATAAAAGAAATTATTGTTAAGTGAAATATGTTTGAAAAAAGTCCCGCTGGGTTTCTTGCTGGTTTTTCCCAAGACAAAGGTATTTTTCGAACCAGTGTTAAATAAAAAATGACTTTCAATAAGCATTATGTAATAATCAATATTGAAGAAAAAATTATTCTCTTCTATTCTATAATGCTCTTATCATTATATTGAATCTATTACTTCTAACATAAATAATTGTAAGTGTGAATTTCTTATTTCTTTTTCTTAATACCTAGCAGCAATGGTCAAGCCCACCACTGATAATAGGGTGAACTAGTATAAATTATTCTGAGTCGGGTTAGCGGTTTGCGATGTGTCCCTGTCACAACCCAATTAGTTACCAATAAATAATCAATGGTTGAAGTTTCAGGTCTTTCAATGCTACATTGTTCGTTAAATTTCAATCAAAATCAAAAGTATTCAGTCAGGGTTTTTACCTAAATTTCTTTTATATTTTAAGTCGAGTCGTTTAAGAATTTAAAATACTTCATCATCCCGAGGCTAAGCAGTTTGGTAGACACCAAATCTCTCCACTGAGTCCAAAGTTGCTAAGGAATATTTAAAGCATAAATTAATGGCTAAAAGTTTAGGCTCAACGAGGTCTCCACTCCTAATAACTGCTGTATTCCAAAAATCTTTTGTATTAAGGAATTTCCTTATTCCCTAATAAAACAAAGACATTTAAATAGTAAAGATAGACGTAAGTAATAATTTTGGGTGTGAATAAAAAGATCATTGTAATAAAATCGCAAAATTCTTTATTGAAGCAAGTACACTGAAATTAGACACATACTCGTATATTTTAGCACCATGGGTCGTTGCTTACGGTATGTACCACCGGGCTGGAATATACTTGAGGGACGGCTGCGGTGTATGTTGTTGGGTACGAGACGTAATTCACAGGCTGTGTGTGGTATGCGTTGTATACTACAGGAGATGATACTGCACGGTACACGGGCGAAGAGACCTTGAAAAAAGAAAACAATATGATAAGACATTGTAAGAACGTGTCGCGTCATTTTTGTTCAGACAAATGCAACAAATGAAATTTGATGTAATTCTTTATTTCATCCCCCTCGAAATTGGCACAAAATATTATTATTTATAATTTGTCCTTATTCCATTTGTATGTTAAGGGTTACATCGTTTAATCCCTCAATATCCACATCCGCAATATGGGCGTAATGTGTTTGTGTCTGTTATTGTGTGTCGTAACCACACGAAATATGTATGAGAAACCTTTCTAGTTAAATCGCTTTTTATATAATAAGTGTGACAAACGAGCAAACAGACCACCAGATGTACCAGTGCTGCAGCCCATAGACATCTACATGTATCGTGGATTAAGAATCAAAATACAGATGCATCACCCCTGAGGACTAAGGCGAATTGCCTCGTTTCTAGTGAAAAGATCCTAATACT